GGTACACTACATTGAAATCCACTCTATTTAATATGACATTAAGAAAAATATAGGAATCCGATTTGATTCAAATTGAGCCACAAATCAAATAGAATCGAATCACTCTAAAATTCCATTCGATTCGATTCGTTCGGAGCCTTACTCTGAATTTTGTATTTTGAAAGTTTTATTGATGGAATGTAGTTTCATTTAAACCATATCTACTACTACAGTATAGAAGTTTGAATCCATGTTTGACTTCCCTGAATGAATGATCCAAGTGTCGTGTTCAATTTTGAAATCCTTGATGGTAGTAATTTTAATGTTTGTTATCTATCTATCAGGAACTACATAAGATTGTAAAAGGGATTTCCATAAAGTCCTAGGAAAAAGCATTTGACATAGTTCAATTTTATCAAAAAAATCATCTCTAGAAATATACTGGAATCTTATTAGAGAAAACAATTCTTTTAATATGTTGCCCAAATCAACAAAATTTTGCAATGACCAATCTCCAACATTGATCTTATTGATTAATGGATGTTTTGCTAATCCCCATTTAAGAATGTTTTCCCAAATAACTATTTCATCAACAGAAAAATCTTTTTCTTTTGAGAATTTCCAATAAAGCTGGTTTTTTCAACAATTCAAATTCATTTGACTGAAATAATTTTTCACTATAATTATAAAACTTTTTTAAATAAATTCCTCGTATTTTTCATTAGCATAAATCAACTGTAGAATTTTAACCGGATTTTCTTTTAAATAATCATCACGATTTTCAATAAAGCATATACCCATAAAGTGACCCAGTACCAAGCTGATCTAGTGTCTCAGGGGTACAGCGACCCAATCCCTTGGCATTGATCACGGAAATTTGTACATTTTTCATTGATAAATAGACAAGTTCTTTGATAAGCATGCTAATTAATAAAAAAAGGTTACAAAATGAAACAAGGGCTTGACTGTATTATTATCGGTACTATCTAAACATGCATGTTTAATATTTGTTTATTAAAATCACAAATTCGTTAAAAAAAAACAATCGGTCTTATCTGTTTAAAGAAGATACAATTTACCTACATCATTGTTGAGACATTCCCATCAGAGCTTTTCAGATCTAATGATATAATTTGTTTGTAAATGTGCTTTAGATTTATTTTTCCTACCTGAATTGATTGCAGCTAAACATTGGTTGTATGTCCAATGTTTTTGCTTATCCTCTGAATCAGAGTAAAATCTGACTTTTGAAAGTTGTGAAAAGAAAAAAATAAAACATATTAATATACAATCAGAGAAATAAACAGTAAGTAGTATTAGGGAACTAGAACAAGAAGAAAATATCGTTACAATAAAGTACATCGAGATCATTTAATTAGTTAATATAAACCATTGTTGCTTTTTTGATTTGATTCTTTTACTACTCAATCTCTATAACTAATCCATATCCTTTATTTAACAATTGTATACACATTTTTCATTATTTATTCAAAAAATAAAAGGAGAATTGATTGAACGGCTTGATTAATGAGCATTGACTTCTTTATATTTATTTCTTGAAAATCATCGTCAACTTTACATCCAATTATTCTAACATCAAATGGTTCTTATTGTATTAGAATACAGCACATTGCTGCAAAAAAGAAAATTTTTAAATTGAAATTTAGATCAAAACACAGAAAATCGTCGTTCCGTTCCATCAAGAGAATGGTGAATTTTCTTTATGGTATTTAAATCGAGCGAAAAAAAATAAATCACGAATTTCATCTTACCATTAATCAATCATATTGAATTCTACTGATACCACTTAAAGTTAAGGCTGATAACTAAGCTCATGAATTTTCAACAATTAAATAGAATAAAGGGCTGGAATCATTTCTCGCGTGAGAACTCTCGCGCGAGGCTAAAGAATGGGAAATGGTTATACGAGTAAAATAAATCGCTTATGCTGTCAACATGATAAATCCAAAGTGAAAGAAAGGGATTCTATTCATGGTAAGGAAAATAGGAAAATTCGCAATCTTGTGAACGAATGCCATCGTAAATTATCAAAATTGTTTACTCTCTGAATTTAAAATACAACACATGGTTAAAATGGACAGCGGTTTTAGAAAAATTCAATGATAGCCTGGTCACATCACCGATTTACTCCATAAATCTCGTGAGTATCCTTGGTGAAAGGTGGTCATCTTCATTGAGAAATATATACTGGGAAAACTTATGGATGTTGTGGAGCCATCAAACATAACTTGGGCTCTTAAATGTGTACACCTTGTAAAACTATCATTGACAGGTCAGGTATAAACGGAGCCCATTTTTAAAGTATATTACAGAAACATAACGAGAGTTGTTCGCCACGTTGGGGCTTACACCAGAGTAAGCTGTCTTGTACCGAGTTATAAGTTCAATGTAAGAGGTTAGTAATTAATTTTATTTTATTTAATTTTTATGGTAATACAAATTTACTAATACTAATTTTTTCCTCGTTTATAAAATCTTGAAAAAATGGGCAAAGGAACAGATAAAATGTATGAATCAAGTCATGCATCCATTTATCTACTTATATATATATATAAATTTATTTATTTATTATTATTATGATTCAATAAAAACAAACATGCTAATATAAAAAAAAAATTTATTTTATAGGTATATTACACATTCAGGTAATATTGAATGAATGAATCTTTATAGGTCCTAACGGTTATTATTATTATTATTACTATTTAAATAAATAATTTATTAAATTCTCCTATATGCATTTTGTATGTAGAGTGGTCTGGTGAGTTTGGTGGAATGCAATTTGGTGGGATACAATCGAGGAAGAAACCAAATGAATTTAAAAAGTTACCATTCAACTATTGTTCATTATCACTTCAGCCATTTGAACACCCTGTATGTACCCCTGATGGCATGATTTTTGATTTAAGGTATATTACATATATGCAAAAACATTTATCTTTATAATATTTTGTTAATTCACTTAATTAATTAATTAAAAATTTATTTTTAATAATAATAAAAAAAAATCAAGCAATATTTATGCATATGTAAAGAAACATGGAACAAATCCTGTTACTGGTAAAAAATTAGATCTAAAGACTTTAATCAAACTTAATTTTTATAAAAACTCTGATGGTAAATATGTAATTATTTTTTTTGAAATACAATATTTTTATAATTTTCTACAAAAATATTTTTTTACGCGTTCTTTACTTCTCTCTTAGATGAATATTATTGCCCAGCAACGTATAAAGTTTTCAATGACCATGCACATATTGTAGCTATAAAAACTACTGGGAATGTTTACTCATATGAAGCAATTGAACGTTTGAATATTAAACCTAAATATTGGAAAGATTTATTAACCGATGAACCATTTAAACGAGATGATCTCATAACTATTCAAGATCCTCATAATATTGAATCAAGAGATTTTACTAAATTCCATTACATAAAAAATAATTTAAAAATCAAGGATGAAGAAAAACAAGATTCGTTGAGTAATATAAATGTGAATGCTACAGGTTCTGCTGCACGTATCCTAAAAAAAATATCAAATGATGTAAGTATATTCAATAAATAATCTTTTATAAATATGAAATTATTAAAATATTGCATAAATAATTTTAAAGTCTAGCGAAAAGAGTAAGCAAGATCAAAAGACTACTTCTTCATCAACATCAACTTCTACAACTCCAATAAAAACCTCAAAAAAAAGTATTCCATATAATGCAGCATCATATTCCCGTGGATTGGCTGCAGCATCATTTACGTCAACGGCAATGACACCAATAACAGAGAATGAGAATGCACTTATAGATGAAGAAGAATTTATGCTTGGTCAAATAAAATCAAAAGGTTATGCTCGTATAGTGACCAATCTTGGGAACTTGAATATTGAACTTTTTAGTGACAAGTCACCACGTGCTTGTTACAATTTTGTGATGCTTTCTAAACAAGGATATTACAATGGGTTTGTTTGTTTTGTTTGTTTGGTTAACTAGAAAAAAATCAATTATTTAATTAATATCACTTTTTATATTAGTGTAATATTTCATCGAAAAATAAAAAATTTTATGGTAAGCTAATTAACAACTCTTTACATACTGCATATTAAAAAAATAATAATCACTAATTATCACTATATATAAATAAAATGCATACGCATATATATAGATTCAGGGTGGTGATCCAACAGGAACAGGTAAAGGCGGTGTATCATATTGGAAAAAAGATTTTATAGATGAATTCAAAAGTAATCTTTCACACAATGAAAGAGGTCTATTAAGTATGGCTAATCGCGGGAAAAACACAAATTCATCACAATTGTAAGTACTTTGTAAAATTTTGTAATTAATTTTTATAAAAAATTATTGATTATTATTATTTTGTTTTGTAGCTTTTTTACGTTTCGGCCATGTACACATCTTGATAATAAACATACAATATTTGGAAAATTGGTTGGCGGTAAAGAAGTTTTAGACAAGATGGAATCAGTGCCAACAGATGAATCAGATCGTCCATTGGAGGAAATTAAGATTAGTGAGGTGACGGTATTTATTGATCCATATGAAGAGTATAAAAAAGATTTGGAAAAGAAATTAAAAAAAGATCAGGAAGTTAAAAAACTACCAGTAAAAACTGTAAAAGATAATACTACATGGTTTGGCACGAAATTAACCAGTTCAAGGTTATCATCATCATCTACACAAGATTCATCTATTCCCGTAGGTAAATATTTCAAAACACAACTTTCTAAAAAACGTGAATTTGAAGAAATAGAAGAAGGTAGTGGTGATGATGATAATGTCAGTGATGGTGATGATGATAAAGGAAAGAAGATGAAAAAAAACGAAATGATTATAAGTGATACATCAAAGTATGGTCGTAAAAAAGTAAAACCAAAAAGTAATAATTTTGGTGATTTTAGTAACTGGTAGAAATTTATTAAAAAAATTAATTTATTATTATATTATTTATATCAAATAAATAAATAGAAATTATTATTATTATAACATTTATAATTTTGAATTTGAAGTTTTTCCTTTTTTCCATAATGATTTCATTTTTTCAAAAATTTCTGGCTCAATAAAATAATCTTCTTGTATATCTTCATTACCAGGAATTGCAGCGTAATGATCAAATTTCCTTTGTCCATTTTCACGTAAAACTACTTCATCGATTAAAAAGTTTCCACTAAATCATAAAATATATAATGGGGATAATGTTGGTTAGCTGTATGTTTTTATTAATGATATATTATTATTATTAATAATGATAATTGTTACCTAAATTCTCTTGAATTTTTGGTAAGAATTACATGAGCTGCATCACCCATTATATCAGGTTTTCTTGCCCTGGAAGGTGCCATCATATCTATAATCATCAATTGATTAATTAATATTTTAAATCATTTATGAATTAAACAAATATGTTTATTTAATTTATTTATTACCTATAACATTTAAAGCTGCAGTATCAATTACTGTTAATGGCCATAAAGCTATTTTTGAACAAAAAAAGAGAATCATTATTATGAGATGACATCATTTACCAGAGAAATTGATTGATTGATTGATTATTTACCATTTGCAGCGATTCCATGTGAACGAAATTCACCAGCCCATCCCTATTTTACAAAAAAAAAAAAACAAATAACTAATTAATTACAAAAGTCATTTGTATGAAAAAATTTATATTAAAGATAAGTACCAAAATACTAAGCGACATATTAAATTTTGCCATGCTGTAAGCAACATGACCTGAAAACCATTCTTCTCTTAATGATAGTGGAGGGCTTATATTCAAAACATGGGGATTTCTACCATTCTTTCCACTTTCTATAAGATGTGGCAGTGCATACTATTATAATATAAAGCTTTTGTTAATATTTATAATATAATATATTAATTATAAATCATAATGTTAAAAAATAGACATTATTGTATTAATATTATTACTTTAGTAACCAACCAAGTTCCGCGAGCATTAATTTCATGCATAAGATTATACTTTTTTAAAGTGGTGTCTTGAGTATTTGTTAATGATATTGCAGAAGCTATAATACATATATATGTAAATGTATTAATAAATAATATGTACATGTATGAATAAATTACATCATGGTATATTATTAATAGCAAGTACCATTATTAATAACAATATCAATTCCACCAAATCTCTCTACTGTTTTCTCAATAGCAGATTTAACCGATTCTTCATCGCGAATATCACATACCAAAGGAAACGCTATATAATAAAATTTGTGACAATTATTGAGTGATAGATTGATTATTTAGTAAAACCACTTTGACTTAATTATTTGATTGATTCGATAGTTGTCACCTTTTCCACCTGCGCGTTCAACTTCTTCAGCTGCTGTATAAATAGTTCCTGGAAGCTGTTTAAAAAAAAATATATAAAAAGTAATAATTAATATTGTTATCGTTATTAATGTCATTAGCATTTATCATATTAATTAATTATATTTACTTTTGGATGTGGTGTAGTGGTCTTTGCAGCTACAACAATTTTACTATATAGTAAGTATTATTAATAGTGTAAATTGATTAATATTCTTTGTTATAAATTCTATTCTACATTGAAGAACTATTATATAATTATAATAATTATTTATTATTAACCTTCCATCCCTTGCAGCTCTTAAAGCAATCGCTAAACCAATACCTCTGTATGACAACGAATGTTAAAAAATGGTTCATTTAAAAAATTAATTAAAAAAACTCGATTATTTTACCGCGATGCACCACTAACAAATATAACTTTATCTTTAAGCGACATGATTTTTAAATTTTTTTTTATAACTAAATTCTAAATGTTATTTTATCCAGTGTTAGATGCGGACGCAGCATGTTACACTAAAAATGTGGATCATTTTATGTGCAAATTATAATACGTATATAGTACCAAATAAAAATATGTTTTGTAAATTCATTTTTGACACAGATGAAGACTTTTAATTACTCAAACATATCCCTCCTAATTAAAATATCTCTAATTATACCTCTTTCAAATGCTAATGTAGAAAGAATATTTTCCCAAACAAAGTTGATTAAAGAATAAATTAAGGAACAAAATGAATCTTGATACATTAAATAATCATTTAATGATTTTATTAAATGGACCTGAAATTGAAGACTTTAATTTTGAGAAAGCATGTGAATATTGAGAAGATAAAAAAAAAATAGGAAGATTAATTCAAAGAACTATTTATTTCTATAATTTGTAACTTTATGAATTTGATCATATGTGCACAAATTTTTTATGCAGATCACTGATTTTATCAACATCATGAAAAAATTAAATATATAGCATTAAGTTTAGTGTAAATCATCACCAAATATATCAAGCACAACAATTCTATTAAGATTCTCTTACCATTCATTCATTGCTTCTACCATTGCTGTAACTATTGCATAATATTTCAGCATCAATGGTTCCTCCCATTCATTATTTTTATGATCCTCAGAATATCCAAGTGATTTTGATAAATATTCAACACTTGATGGGGTTCGATGAATTGTTCAATTATATGAAGCTAACCAATTGAAGCAATTGATTATTATGCACCGTCAGGAGAGAATCATACAACTAATTTAATTTTTACCATTCTATGATAGATACTCCAGAATTCCATGGGATCGTGATTTGGAAAATAGACCAAAAATTAATATATCAAAATAGTTAACAGAATTTACTTGTACATACCCAAAGAATTATAGTCACTATCGAGGATCATCATCTACCGAATGAATCAATTTAGCAGCAGCAAGTTGAATTTTAAACCTTTTATCAAATGACTTGGACCAAACAAATTTATTTACGACAATGAATTTTATAGCTAGCTGATATGGAGATGGGATGGTGGAGACAAAAATATTTTTAACTATTTAAAATTATTATAATTATTTACAAAATTTTTAATATAGACATATTAACAAGGAGCAAAACTGCATACAAATCAAAACTTGGTGATTTGTTATGCCAAATTATAATTCTACTAATTGAAACGAAAAAAATTGATTTGAAGAATTTACATGAAATTCATTTATCCATACATCCACCCATCCATACATCCACTGATTCATTAATCCATTCATCTTTCATTCATTTATTAATCCATCCATGTACTCATTAATCCCACTAATCCATCTCTTCATGCACAAATGAGCGATCAACTTTTTTTTCTCCCTCAACATCAAGAAATACTTTATTTTTTAATTCTAGCGGAAGATATTCTTGATAAACAGGACCTTCATAGCCAGGATTATATTTATAACCTTCCCCATATCCAAGTTCCTTAAATAAAACATAAAATAAACAACAATAACAGTACAATAATAAATTAAAATGCTTATTGATTTTATTAAATTAAATAAAGTGTTATAAATAATTTACCTTCATTAATCCAGTAGGTGCATTTCTAATATGTAATGGAACAGGATAAGCATATTCTTCTTTAATAGTTTGTTTTGCCTATATATATATATATATATATAGATAATTATATAAATATTATAATTTTTAATGGTTGATAATAATCGATACTTACAAGTTTATAAGCTTTATAAGATCTAATGCTTTTCTTTGCTTCAGCCAAATAAACAACGCAATGAGCCAAATTTATTTCACATTCTGGCATTCCTATGAATTGACATGCTTGATAAGTTGAGATAGCCTGTGTATATGTGTGCGTGTATATATATATATATATATATATAAAATATAATTATTGTAATAATAAAAATGAAAAATAAATTATTAATTAAATAATAATGACCAAAGGTAAAGCACTGTTATCCGCAAGTCCAACGTCTTCAGAAGCAAATACGATTAATCTTCTAGCTAATTAAAAGGATGAAAACCAATTAGTACATCTATTACCTTGACTTTATTATTTAATTCATATATTACCTATATACAATGGATCTTCTCCTGCTGTTAACATACGGCCCAACCAATATAAACTTGCTAAATAAAACACAAAAATATGTATGTAATTGAATATTTTTTATTTGTTTTAATGATAAATTTAAAACATAATGTTTTTAGGAAAAATTTCATCATACCATTAGGATCGCTACAAATATATATATATATATATATATATATATATATTAAACAATGATAAATATATTCATTAAAATATTTTATTTCACCGAAAAGAAGTTTGATATTTACCTTCCACGCATACTTTTATGAAGTGCACTAATTATATTATAGTGTTCTTCGCCGTCTTTATCATATAATAAATGAGATTTTTGAAATATTTTTTTAATATCATCTTTGTTTAATTTTGTTCTTCTTGGTTCACGTTTGCTTATATTTAAAGCAACCTCAAGTGCATTAAGCGCAACTCTAGCTTCAAAACCAATTAATAACTAATTAATAATTTTTTATTGCTAATTATTTTTATGTATATAATAGCTTATAATTTTTAATTAATTACCATCACCATCACTAATTACTGCTAAAAACTTCAATGATTCATCATCTATAATATTCTCGAATTGTTCAACATCATCATCCATAACTGAGTCAACATCATCAACATTAATAATTTTTTGTGCAGAAATTTCTTGTGCCAAAGCTTTTTTCAAAATGATAAGTATTTCATCAGTAGATAATTTTTTTAATGCAAAAACCATACACCGACTGAGAAGTGCGGAATTTATCTTAAATGAAGGATTTTCAGTTGTGGCTCCTAGATAGTATATATATAAATAAATAAATGGAATACTATTATACTGTTATGCTATTATATTATTATTATGATTACCTATTAAAGTGACCGAACCAGATTCTATATAAGGAACTAGAAGAAAGAAAATACGCATGGATTAGATAAAGATATAATATGAGATGAAAATGAATAGTTTGATTATTAAAAATTTACGAAATAAATCTTGTTGAGCCTTATTAAATCGATGACTATAACAGATTAAATAAATTTAAATCAAAGTATAATAAATTCTTTCAATTTCTAATAAATAAATAGATTGAATATTACATTTCATCCAAAAATATTATAGTACGATGTCCTAACAACTTTTGCTCATTCTTTGCCTCATCAAAAGCTTTTCTATTATTATATAATTTAGGTTTTAAATGAGAGAAACTTTTAATGTAATTTAATATTTTAAACAATTTACTTTACTTTATATCAACAGAACCTTTAAATAATAAAGAATATAATATTTAATTAATATATAATAAACATTTAGCAAATGATCTATGTTTGAGAAAAGATTTTAACAAAATACCATGAGAAGTTCCAGAAAATTCTTTAAATACAGAATTTGTCGTATTTGCAATTATCTAGTCAAACAAATAAATGTGAACATAACAATATAACTAAAGGATTTTACTATAACAAATTATAATAATAATTGCAATACTCTTGCAAGTGTGGTTTTTCCAGTTCCACTATTTCCAAATAATATCATTGATCTAGAAAAATAAAAATAAAAATAAAAATAAAAATTGAATTTAAAAAATTATTAGAAAGAAAAAAATCTTATTTTAAGAAATCTTACGGTATTTTGTCTAGTAATATTAAATTTCTTAGAATTCCTTTCTCGCCGATCAACTCATCTTGACCCACAAATGAATCAAGGTTACTTGGTCTAACTAGATGTAAAAATTTTATTATTAATTTTCAATATTATTTATAAACAAACTTTAAAATAGATTATTCTTTACCTTTAGAAGATAATGGAAGAAATTCAACTTTTGAGTTGTTTGGTTTTATTTTTTTAATTTGATTAGGAGATTGTGACCCTTGAAAAAAAGTCTTTGCCTTATTGTCATTGGAACTAATTTTGGGAGAGGATGAGGAAGAGAAAGATTTGTTAAAAGATGTATTAAATCTTCTCAAACTATTTCTATTACTACTTGATGATGATGATGATGATAAAAATGGTGATGATTTAGGTGATTGCGATGGTGATTGTGATTTAGAAGGAATCTTCCAATCATCGAATGTAAATTTACGCTTTTTGGATTTAGCAAATAATCATTATTATTTATGACAATTAATTAAAAATTTTAATTATTCTTTTATTTATTCTTACTTTTGGAAAATTCGAGATTTTAGAAGAAGGCGATGATGACATGTCAAAGATGTATGAGGAGCACGTATTATTAATATGTTGATCCATTAGATTTTTCTCAACACAGTCACCACATCTGGAGCAAATACCCATTTCTTCTTTTATTTTTAAATTGGAATTAAAATTATTGATGATATTTAATATTCTGAAAAAAAAAATAGTCTTTCAGTACACGTAATAAAACATACCACCGTCATCATTATTATTGTTCATGATGAAAATGAACCTGGCGATGATCGTTCAAAACACATGATCGATTATTTTAGAATTTTTGTTGATCAATTTTTTAATTTTGTAATTCACATAATAATAACGTGAATTATTCAAACTGCTAGTTTTATCGACAGAATTAGTTCAATATTGTCAACTTCAAGATCCATGCATACATATTGAATTACACAGTTCATATAATCCAACGAAAAATCAGAAACATTCTTGTAGCATTTTTTTTTTTTTCAATGTAGGGAATGTAATGTTGTTGTTGTACGGACTTCAGATGTCCTATTTTTTCTTATTAGTGAGCAACTAAAGAAGAAAATTTTGACACCGATCATTGAGTATTCGGATGCATCGTAGGGCTTTCGAACTCATCCTAATCTGACCCTCTATGATGGTTCTTATTAAGTGAAATAAATAATTCAAATATTAAATATTTACAATTGGAACACCAGAAAAATATCTGGATTATTTATCTCGTAATGGTTTTTTATTTTACACCGCGATATGGCTTGTTCTCTAAGCCGAAAATTGTCAGGTTACACAATATCTAGTAAATTAGGCTTTTATAAGTTCAAATAGGTAACAAGATAGTTACTATAATAATTAATCTATTTAAGAAGTTTATTAAAATAATTGGAGAAATATCACTATTGCCTACTAGTTAAATTATTTATTAAGAATAGAATGTTCCATTATTATATTCTATTTTATATATAAATAAAAAAAACCAAGATCTACACTGTATAGTTTTTCTAAGCAATGTTCTGCATGAAAAGCTTGCAAAGTTACTTTTTTCACATTATCCTTTACTTTTTACCCTCTTTTTTAACCATACTAGCAATGGTTGTTTTTCTTAGTCAGAATTTGGTATTAAGGTTTTTTGTATAACGATGTAATCTTCAATCATCTTCCAAATTTACAACAGCCACTCTGATTAGATAATAATAATTGCAACACTTATCGGACGGAATTGTTATAAACATGCATAAGTTCACTATTTAATTCCTGTTGTAAAATCAAAGTAGTCTATAAATTGTTTATCATGTTTATCATTATAAACAATTTAACAAGTAGAAAAAATACTTGCATTATTATATTCTAAAATTTACGTTCAACACAATTTGATCCTAGTAATGTAATCAAAAGTATCAATAACTGATTAACTGATAAGAGTAACATGCAATTCATGCATTAATAATAATTTATGTCAATTACTCGAATGCTCCATCATAACACAAAAAAGATTCATATATATATATATATATATGTAACCAGCCTCAGAATCTATGAAGATTCAAGGGCTTGTGGATGCTGTTTAGATAAATCGATCGAATTAACGTTAATTTTTAATTTTGAAAGTGAATACAAAGAAACAATGGCATCATAAAAGTCATCAAACTCTTGATCCAAATTTTCAAAAATCTTCTTATTATATAATTTCTCTGTATTTTTTTATCACTTTAAAATTTCTTGTTTGCTATCAGAATTAAATTGGAGATGACCTTTCAGGTTCCAGTCAGTGCTATTCACAAAGTTAAAAGCGTAATGATAAAACTCTATATCTAGAAAAAATTGCGCCGCGAGTGATCTAGAAGATAATTATATGCAACGAAAGCCACTAAGCAAATGACATTTAACAATATAGTTAGTATATTGGAAGAGAGGTCCAGATGTAGGCACTAGGAAGTAGCTATGTAACGAGTCGAGTCATAGTAATCACAATACTCTTCCAAAAGGTTAATTATTAATATATATTTGTGTAAATCATGTACTACAATAATAACCAATAATATAATTCTTATACACGTGACCCATTCAAAATTGGTAATCTTTACTTTTCATATTAAAATTTAAGGTTTTTGTGCTTGTGATTAATCCCGGTTTTTTTATTCATATAATAACTATTACTACATTATTACACAATATGTATACAACGGTTAATAAATAAATAAACTTTGCTTATTATAATTTTAATTACAAATATCCAGAACCAAATAGTCTTTAACCGGCATTTTTAAACTGACCTTCTTAATCTTTTTAAACAGTCTTCTTAACCAATTCAGAGACCACACATTTAAAGGCTGGTCTTTCGATCCTCTAAAAAAAAGACTACTTTTGAGACCTTTACGACAAATACGACCCTAAATTTAAAGTAGGTAAATTGTGGCTGTGGTTGCTCAGCCAAGGTTAAAAAAAAAAGCCCCGCAAATTTCACTCTAAACCAGAACAGATATTAATATCTCGGGCTAGTAATATATTGTGGACCAATAAATACTAGCAGATGCTTCGAAAAGACGACCCGTCTATTTTGGGGATTTAGAGCAAAAAATTTATTAATATTAACAATTTTTATGCTGGCATAAAATCATTTTTCCTGTTGAAGGAAATGTTTACCGTGCACATATTTTGCCTTTATGACATGTTTGACCGCGCTATAGGCAGATCGTTCAGGTTCATTTTGTATTATGATAATAAATTTCTGGTTACTAAAAATTTGAACCCTGAAATTATTCTGTAGCTTTTCAGTATGAAACGGATGAATAGATGTATGAATGAACGGACGGATGAATGTATGAATGGAGGATATGACGCGCGATAATGAATAATGGAAATTTATGTTTCAGTATTAGCGATTATAGATTTATTGTTTACTTTTAGTTATTATATAAACTTTTTTTTGGAAAATTTATTTTTTTTTATTTCACAAAATAGTTAAATTAGAAAAAGCTCAATTAAAAGTAATCTGTGATAGTGATGATATTGTATATATAGAAGATATGATAGCAAGTTTTAAAATAGGTAATTTATAGTTTAAACGTCAAAAATAAATTATTGATTGGGATAAATATATAATAGACAGTATAAACAAATATTAATTTTATAAGTAAAAATAAATATATTTATTATTTTTACATCATGACACATCTTTCTCTCAATGAATGTTGAATACAAAGAAATTTTATTTTTAAATTTAAATTTAAAATTAAATCTATTTATTTTTTTAATTTAATTAAAGTAATCATTTTTTTATTCAACAGTTTTAATCAATTCTATTTAAATAAATTCTTAATGATGGTATTATTTTTATTTGTTACATTTATTTGTTTAATTTAGTACATATTTATTTATTTACTTTTTTTTAAATTGGTATTTATTATTTATAATAAATAAAATCAAAGAAGGTTTCCTTCTCTTTAAAAAAAATTTTTAAAATTTCTTTTAAATCCATAGAGAAATTAGAGAAAATTATAGATTTTTTTTTGTTTATCCAATTTATCATCATCATACTTACTGTCTTCATACATACCATACATATTAATCATAATTAATAATTAATAACATAGAGACGAATGAAATTTGTAAAATTTTTTTTTTAAAATATAATAAATTTTTTATAATTTATAAAAATTATAGAAAAAAAAACAATGTCGTATAATAAATATAATATTTATAATAACAATAATAACTCTAAAAGCATTAGTAACTCTAATAAAATTATTAATAATAACAGCACAGGTAAATTAAAATTATTAATTTAATTTCATCATCAACTGCATCTTTCATTATTAAACTAATTATCCCTCTCTCATCTTCATCACATAACCATCTCTCCTAATCTTCGTCTTCACCTTCACTACACATCCAACTCACCTTATAATCAACAAAGACAATAATAAAATACCACAATTACCAAGATTGCCAGATCGTACAATAACAACAAGCGATTACGGAGCTTTGGTCAATATGCAACGTAGTAATGGTGATTCATTCAATCACCATCATCATAATATTCAAAGATGCGGTGATTTCATAATCGAGATTGAACCGTATTATCATTATCCATCATCATCTACCCAAAACAGTTCCTCACTAGTTAATTCAAATCATCCCAACTCAAGTAAACCTCATCATCATTTAATCAATAATCACAGTAACAATCTTTCCAATCACTATTATTCTTCTACGCCGATTTCTTCTCAATCACATCCTTCGACGAATGGTAATAAAATTAGAAATTCTACATCTTCTACTTCGTCGACATCAACAACTGCATCTTCTGTATCAACATCAGCAAGGATTTCTTTATCCTCAAATACCCCTGCGACCTCTCTAATGACAACTACAATGTCACCTCAATCAACCACGACTCTAATGTCAACCACAAACTCCATAAATGCCACTGCTTTTAATAATTTCTTATATGCACCATCTTCACCACGACCATCATCATCTGCTTTATCTGATGCAATCTCATCGTCTAATCTATCCTTATCGTCATCACGATCATCATCATCAATAACGTCAACTATCATTTCGCCCACATCGATAAACGATGGTCACTCGTTATCACTAATAACGACCAAAAAAATTAATGATTTGGAATCACATATTAATTATCAATCTGAACAATTGAAATCTATATTATGGGAACGTGATGATTGCAAATATCATAATTTCGCTTTGGAATCTCAAATTTCCAATCTCAAGGATCAAATAAAGCAATTCGATCAGTTTTTTAAAGAACACGAGATTCTGAAGTCGCAAAATGAAAATTTAAACAATGCAACAAAACAGCTCCAGTCAATCATCTCCACGATAAATAAGGAACGTGACGATATACGTGGAAAATATCAATTATTGGAATTGTATTTAAATCAATCCCAACAAAAAATTGAAAATTACGACAAGTTAAGCAAAGATTATGAAAAATTAAGTTTAGATTACAACAATTTGAAGTCAGACTCTGATGACTTGAAGTCAGATTCTGAATCTGTCAAATTGCAAAACCATCAAGTAAAAATCCAAAATGATAACCTGGCTGCCGGGATGGGAAGATTGCAAGACGAATTGAATTATTTTATTAGTAAACGTGACGAATTGAATTCTAAAAATGATTTATTGGTCAAGGAAATTCAATCAATCAAGAAAAATAACGAATTGTTGGCCAAGAAATTAAACGATCTAGAGTCGGAATATGTTAATCTCAAATTTCAAAAAGATCTTTTGCAAAATAAAAACACTAAATTAACTCTGGAAAATGATAAATTACATGGTATAATTATTAGTGGCAATGATAGTGGTAGTGGTGGCGAGATTGGCGAGATTGGTGATGGCAGCGGTGATAATTTCTCCAACACTGTATCTAGTAATAATAATAATAATAATAATAATAATAATAATAATAATATTAATATTAATAATAACCCTTCATCTGACGGCAGTGAATTCAATTTCAGCGAAGATGATGACATTACTTCTTCGATTACTACTGCTTCCACATCTGTAAGCTCTTCGCCAAATTCTCCCGACATTGACAATAATATAAAAGCATCACCATCGTTATCTCCAATAATAAATAACGAGAATAATAATAATGGTGGTGGTGATGGTAGTGGCGAATTGGTATCCACTACAAATCTATTAGAAAATTATTTAAATCTAAAGAAACAACGTGATGAATTGAAAACTCAAAGTAAATTCACAACATTACAAATTAAACAGTTGGAATTCGAATGTGGTGAATTAAAACAACAAATTTCTGATTTGAAATTAGTAAATAATAAATTAACATCAAAAAATAATTTATTATCAAATCAAATAAATTCGCTTTCACAATCATCATCATCCTCCAATGTTGATAATGACAAATTACATAAAGAACTTGATAAAGTTAAGAAGGAACATGATAATAGTTTATCTAAATTTATGAAACTGTCAAAAGATTATGATGAGTTGTCTTTGGAATTAGCTGATCTCAGGAAAGAACACTCGTTGCTAACAGGAAAAGTTGACGAGGCAACCACACAACTTTATATTAAATCAAACGAGTTGTTAGTATTAAGTGAAAAACAAGATTTAATGAAAATGAAGCATGATGAATTGAAGCAAAAAAATATAGAATTGAGAAATGAATCTGAACGACTACAAGCCACATCTAATAATAATGAATTGATTAGGAAACAAGAAAGTATTGAAAATAAAGCCAAATTTGCTAAACTTGAGAATGAAAAGGCAGATTTGGAAATGGAAATTTCCAAGTTAAAAACAGCATTTGAAAAATATGAGAATGTCGGAAAAGAAAAGACATCTTTGGAATTGGAAATATCTAAATTAAACGTTGTTCATCATGAGAAACTTGAAAAGGTCGAGAAAGAAAAAGCAGCTTTGGAATTGGAAATTTCCAAATTGAAAGTTGGCTATGAAGAAAAACTTGAAAATATTGAAAAAGAAAAAATTTCCCTGGAATTGGAAATTTCTAAATTGAAGCAAGAATATGAAACTTTATCAGACAAATGTCAAACAATGGTAGAGTTTGAGGAATCTAACAGTGATGACATTAATGATAGTAGTATTAGTGATGATAGTATTAATCTAATTTATATTAGACAAATTGAAGAATTAAAAGAAGAGCTTGAAAAAATTAAACAACAAAATGATTTATTATCAAAAAATAACAAATATAAAGAAAGAACGAGAAGAGAAGATGATAAAATTATTAATAATGGTAATCTATTATTACCAGCATCATCCACTACTAATCAATCTTCACCCGACCAATTTTCGTCTAATCAAAATTGTTATTCACCAACTGAAGAATTAAACGATCCTATCACTGATAATAATAACATAGTGTCCATAAGCCCAGTAACAAGTTCAGATATTATGATTGCTCATTCACAACGAATAAATGCTACAATTCAAACTGCTACACTTATAAAACGTGCAACTTTGACTACCCCTCTTAATTCTACTACACTTATTCCTAATTCAACTAATAATAATAATGAATTGAATAATTCTTCTCCCTCGCAATCTTTACAATCTTTATCATCAACACCACCTTCATCTAATATTCCATCATATCAAACCTATGTTAAGAAAAGATCACAGCATCAATCATCTTCTTCATCTTCTTCATTTTCTTCATCAAATATATCATACCTCACTAACACTACCAACAACAGCAACAACAATCAAAACAATACAAACTTTAGCAGATCAACTACTCCCACTACACCTAAACTTAATCTTGTCACTAATCCAAATTCAATACTAACGACAACCATCCCTACAAACTCCCCCTTAGTTACACCAACTACAACTACAACGAATTATGGTAGTGCTGCTGAAGAGTATAATAATAATATTAATAACGAGGAATATGCTAGTGGTGAATATGCACAGCAACGATATCATAACGTAATTACAACAGCAAAACCTACAACTTATAATGTTGTTTCTGCTCAACGACAATCTAGTGATGAATCAAATAATATTTATTATAGCAATGGAGTTGTTGTTAATAATATCGATACGCAGCAACAGCAGCAGCAACAACTTTTATCTTCACGACAACCTTCTTTCTATACAAAATACCAATCTCAAGATTCAACTAATCCTAATATTAGTAGTTATAATAGTTATAATAATAATAATGATTATTATAATAGTTATGGTAATTATAATAGTCTTAGTAATAGTGCTAATATTGATTATATAAATATGAGCAATATTAGTAATCATAATGTAATGGAAAAATCAGATTCTACATCATTAGCAAGCAATACATCACATAATACTACAAACACTAATAATACTGCCAGCACTATTAATACCACAAGCACCACAAGCACCATAAACACTATTAACAATGATGTTAGTATTGTTCAATTTACTCCAACGAATCAATCAAATGAAAATATAATACCTTCTAAAAGAACGAGCTTATACAGCAATCTTTCTAAAACTTTAACATTTTCATCATCACCATCATCATCACCATCATCATCTATTCCCTCGTCAAAATTTAAATCATCAAAATCATTATCAACACCATCGACAACATCACCATCAAAACAAAAAACAAAAACTCATTCAATTTCATTATCATCACAATCAAATCTACAATCATCGTCTTCACCGTCTTCACCAATTATTAAAGATGATAATAGCAGCATTAAAAGTTTCAAAAGGAATTCACTAATTAGAAGTTTTAAAAATCCAATTTCCCTTAATAATTCTTCTTCCAATTCCTCTTTACCAACATCATCATCTGCCACAACATTTTTACCATCCACAAATAAAAATAATAATGGAAATGGCAAAATAGTTCCAGTTTGTCACCATTGTAGAATTAATCCATGTAAAAAGAGATTTACTAAGGGTTACAGTAATTATTGTTCTTCTGATTGTAAGAAATTAGCTCAACGAAATAGTAATTATAGTGATGGAAATGATAACGACAGGTAAAAAATCAAAAAAACTAATAATATATTGATTTAATTAACCACATGAATATTGATTATTTAATTATTTTTTTTTATTTAAATAGTGTAATATCAGAAATCTATGATGAATCAAGGAAATCTCTCAGTAATAATTCAATAATAAATGCATCAACTGAATCGTTTCAACGACAACAAAATCATTACTAATAACAAAAGTTAAAAATTAAATCATTATATTTATTATATATACTGTAGATTATTTATTTATTTATATATTAGAATGTTATTAGAATATTTATATAGTTTAAATTTTTTATTTTAATTTTTCTTAATTACAGTAATTCTTTTTTTGTAAATTATATTATCTTATTTTATTTTAAAAACTTTATAATATTACTTTTTAATATCGTACATTTCATTATAAATTTTAAATTTGCGTATAAACTAAAGCAAAAAGGATAAACTCAAACTTTTAATAATAAAAGATATAATTATTAGTAATTAAATTATATTGATAATGTTTGCCTTACTTTATTTAACAATTTCATTATCTAATTTGTTGCGAATCGCTACCATTTACCATTTTCAAAATTCCTTTTTATAAAGCTCTTCTTCAATAGTCAGTTAGTTGGTTTTTTTGATAGTTACACATCCCAACATTTCCTCAGGCATTTCAGGTAATATTGGTGGTCGTAAAACCACCTTCATATATACATATACAAAAATTAAATGATGATTATGAGCTCTATCATTTAATGGTGGATGGCTTATACTATTAATTTTGTTCATCCAAACTGTAATATAACAAAATCACAATGGATTAAATCTTTTTTTATGTATACAATATAACGCGTTACATAAATTATCAAGATTGTAATTTTATCTTTTAATATGATTGTAAATCTCTTGAATTTCCTTTCTGAATAATGATCAAGAACCATTGCGTAACTTCCATTATAGTTATGCCATAGCAAGCAACAATCAAACCCGGTTTAATTTTACAATGATTCATTGCCTGAAATTATACACAGTATCATTTAAATAAACCTCGCCAAAAAAGTTATTACTTGAATTACTTGGACATTTTAACAACAACCAAATACTTTTTCCTCTTATCCATCTGGCTGTATAAGCCCACCTTCAGTTGATTTATAGCATCTTCAAAGACATGGTAGGGTAATATAAAAGTTGGCAAAGCAAGAGAATTTGACATTGTAGAGTAAAATCATCAACCATGTATGTCATTTCCAGATGTCCAGGTAGTGAAAAGGTTCCGTAATTGTAAACCTATACACTTTTCATAGAATCTATTAGAGAATTTTGTTGCTTGGTTTGCCCAATTTATAAATTGCATTATTTAATTCAAAGCTATTAAAAAAAAACTTTATCAGGATTAACCAGAGCATTATTACAATTTTATATATGGTTGGCGCAGTTCAAAGACTCTTAGCCTCCTCCTGGTATAATTAAAATAAATTTTAGGTTAATAACCATGATATTTTCCCGTTAAAGTTTATAATAGTAATAGAAATGCAGATCTTTTTTCGATTTAAAAAATCGTCCTCCTTTCTACCAATATCAATTTTCATAATAATAATATAATATAAAAAGTCCACCAACATGTCTTCAATTGATAATAATCATAATGATAATGATGATGCAGTTTATAGTTGTTTTTTCTATGGTACATTAATGTCTCCAAAAATTTTTGAACTTGTGATTAATAAATCAACAACAACAACAACAACTATTACAGAATCTTCAAATTCAAATATTATTAACAAAAATTTTAATGCAAATTCTGCCATTTTGAAGGTATATGTTAGCTAATTAATTAATTAATATAATAAGCTAATTATTATTAATTTACTTAGGGATATAAACGTGTCAGAGTACGCTATGCAACATATCCTGCAATATTTAAAACTAATGATGATCATGACGAGGTTGAAGGCATATTGATTGATGGATTAACTGTTGATAGTTTGAAAAGATTGGATTATTTTGAAGGCGATGTAAGTTTATAATATCAATATCAATATCAGTATCAATGGCAATAATAATAACAATGATAATAATGATAATAATAAATATTTATTTGTAGCAATATACCAGAAAAAATGTTAATGTTTATCTTAAAAAAATTGAAACCATAGCAACATTAGAAGAAACCGAAAGAATGGTATCTGCACAATCATATGTATGGAGTGATTCTTTAGATTTTTTAGAAATTGATAAAGAATGGAATCCACTAGATTTTGGAATTTCATTAAATAATTGGACTAAAAAAGATTTTGATGAATTGTAAGTGCTACTATCACTATTACTAGAACAACAATGACAAACTATTTCTTTTGATAAATATTTAAACAAATTTTTTTTAAAAAAATAATCAGTTGTAATTTAATATTATAAAATAATACAAATAATTTATTATGATCATTATATACATAAAATCCAATATATATTTTTTTTTCATTTGCATTGACAGGAAAAAAGTTTACCATAGAAGTTGGAATTTGCAAGTTCTGTATTATCTATGTGATCATCATTTATTAAATTTATTTCATCAGAAAACAAATTCTTGTACTTTCACTTTTGGATCCTGTTTGAAGTCGCATTTTTTAGTATTGTCCGGGAAGTTGCATGAAATTCCTCATGCGCATTTTATGCAGTGCATTTTTTTTTTAAACTAAATATATTTTCAATATCACTCTTCACTATTTTCTATTCTAATTGTTTCATCTTCATCAACACCCTCACTTTCATCACCATTATCACTTTTATCACTTTCTCCCACATTTACATCATCATCAATGATTGTAATATCTATATTATCATTGTTATTATTTTTTGGGACATTTTAATTTGTGATTGAAATAAATATATATCAATTTAAAAACACATTCAGATGTCAATTTATTTCTTTTTTGTCATGTATAAAAGAAAAGGTGGACCAATTCTTTTCTGAAGCAGCTGATGAAGTAGGAACTGAAATTATACGAACTGCAAATTTTGCTACAGTACGGATCATCTATACTCAAAAGTTAAAATCTTTGAAATATTATGTGGTCCACACGCTGGATTTTAGAAAACCCACCACCATTCAATTCAGCTTTAAGAAGGGAGTATATTAATCTAAAAAAAAAATTTTGTCTCGAATTTTCTTTTCATAGATTTTTTAAATTTTGAAAGTTATGCTCAGAAGTGCAACAATAACTTTCGTGTTACAATATTTTGAATCTCACGACCGAATTTGGTAATGATTTTCTTTTAATGTTCGTTAAACTTTTTTGTTGTAAAGAACTTTTATTTATTAACAAAAAAAAAGAAATAAATAAATCAAATAAATCAAATAAATCAAATGTATGTTGTAAAAAATATTCTATGAAAAAAAAGTTATTACACGAAATTTACTTAGTCTCGATTTTTTAAATGCATAACAAAATTCGGAATTTTCAAAATGCTAAGGCTCTGCCAATTTTCAGTTTAAGAAAAACCAGCCAATAAGTTTTGAAGCTTGAGTCATGAACAATAAAACTTATCAGTTAAATTTTTTAAAATGATATAATTTTTTTTTGTTTTAGCATTTTGGAGTTGACCAATTGTTACTATATATAAGCAATTAATGATTATAGATGATCTGCACCATAGTTCAGGAGCTGCTGAAGAAAAATACCTTTCCACCATGTGATTAAATCTATGTCATCTACTGTGTAAATTAGCTGAAATTGTACTAATTGATGATGATGATGATGATGCTATCAAATTTGTATCTTGAGAAAAGTTTGGACTGAATAATGATTGTGGAACAGAAACTGGTACAGAGCTACATTTCTTTAAATGCAGTTCACAAGCATGATTTAATTCATAGTCACAATATTTGCATCCAGTCCTATTTTGTTTAAAACCATCAGTTCTACCCAATTTGACAAAATGAAGCCAAATTTTTGATTTTGACATTTTTGACATTTCAATGAATAAAATTAATTTATATTATTTTTTTTTTTGAAAAATTTTAATTGGATAGAATTGTCTATCTGACATTGCATGATTTGAAAAAAAATCATGCACATTGCATTTTTTTCATGTGCATGCCACATCTCTAGTCCTAATTAAGATTTCTGGTCCAAACTGTTTTCTCAAAGCCCAAACTGGTTAGGGCAATTTGGGCTTCTCAACATTTTTTATAAGCATGAACATTAACAATCTATATGAATCAACTTGTTTTAACTTAAACAACTTTAAAATAATTTCGCCCAATTTTGGCTAATAACAAAAAGTAGTTTGGGCTTATAAAAAAATAATTTTTGCCCAAAGTATTTGGGCAATTTCGGCTACTAATAGAAGCAGTTTCGACCAGAAACCTTAGTCCTAATCACAGGTATTGCAATCTTTTGGATATTGGTATCTAGATTAAAGTTATTATTAGTCATTAGTCTTAACTTTACATATTACCAATTTTTGAAGGATACTAATTGTCCATGCATTTTCTGATGTCTTGGTTAACTAGAATGTTAACCCCTAAAACTTGCTTGCAGTGCCTTGTTAAAATTTCAAAAAAAAATTTTTATTTTTTTCCTTGAATTTTTATAACAAATTAAAGTTAAAAACATGGTTCAATGAGATATTAATAGTCTTATTTATTTGAAATTGCATGGGTAAGCTGCCAATAAAGGTAATAATGTAACAGTAATAAATAATAGTTATCCCCCATGAAGTGGGGGATAATAATAAGAGAGTTATCACAATAACATATGATCGTAGATTTTGATAGTTATCATTCTGGTCTTATTCATCTCAGGGATGATAACTATTAAATCCTGATAGGTGATGAATAAACCTGAATGATAACTCAACGATCTACTTCATTACACAATATGTGAATGGGTGATAATAATAATCATCATTAGTCCTTTATAATTTATAGTTGGACCAATCTATACCCAAGGGTCCAGTGACAGCTCATGAGTATTGTGAAAGGTACACACTGATTGGTCTATTATCCATCAAGACAGCATCTGCAGAAGTGGAAGCAGAAAATCCTCATATTAAAGGAGTTCTTGATAGAATGTCAAACAAAGTGTAATATGGATATATGGTAGATGATTAATCAAAGATGCTCCTCATGTATTATTGTTTGATACTATATATATATTAATATAATTATTCTAATAATAATTTGTAAAAACTTATTGTTAAGATGGAGTTCTTCCAAGTGGTTGAAATTTTCAGCAATACATGAATTTCAAAATTTACATGGATTTGTTAATGGTCATTTCTATGGGTCATTACAATTAACCTGAATAATACCTTGTATTTTTTTTATTTCTGGTCATTATCACTACAAAAATTAAGATGTTGATATGTTTATTGAATCATTAGCAAGTTAGTATTAATTTGCCATGTTAACATCATAATGAATGTGATTATTATTGTAGATATAAATATGTGCATATAATATGTATAAACATATTTCAATTATTTATTCATACTTTTGAAGGATTAAATCAAAGGTTAAAAGCATGCAATTTACAATTTCAGTAATTGTATTATTATCATGCCAACTAAAATACAATCTTTTTGCTGTTTGAGCTTTGAAAGGCCAAGTAATCACAAAACAACTGTAGAAGACATTACTGATAAAATTGGTTTCAGAAGGCCGCAAGATATGTTAGGTGTACACATTTATAAATATATTATTATTTATGCTTTAAATATTATATTTATATTCATATATATATATGTATTCAACACACAAATATGTATACAGGGGGGAAATCAATAATGTGGTGGTTGACCCTTTTGAATTATTAACTGAAGAAGACAAAGTGTTACTGAAATGTCATGTCATGGCACTAAAATTCCATCAATATTAGCATTTGATCCTGAATCGGATCCAATATTGACACAATTACATCATCTGGAACTATATGGGGTGTGGACAATAGAAACGGACCATGTTGTGAAAAAAGCAATTTTGAGTTAGTATCACTATTATATGTAATTCCTCATGTAGAACATTTTTGGCTTAGAAACCATACCCACTTTGCTTAATAAAACTTTGAGATACCCTCCATTAAAGTTTTAAAAACAATAGTAAATTACTTGAAATGCAGATCTTTTTTTTAAATTTTCTCAAAACATCATTTTCACAGCATGGTCCGTTTCTATTGTCCAGACCCCATATAGTTAACAGTTCAGATGATCATGTAAAGGTTATATTTCATCCTGAATTTCTAACTTCAAACAATCTTCTAATTGGCTTAGATTATGAGGATTTTGTATGGGTTGCCATCTAGGCGTGTTCCCATGTTATTATGACCCATGGGGTTACACTCCTGCTGAATGCATAGTAATGGGTGTCCCATCCATCACAACCAAATTATTAGGTTTTGAATGAAATACATTAGATTATGGTGTTTATGAAATCCACTAATGAATCAACTCAACAATGAGTTGATTACATGTTTACAATTTTGTCAGAAAACAAGACATCAACATATAAATCAATTTAATAAAAAGAATGATTGTCAGATTGTCCAATTGGAAATTGGTTGATATGGAATATATCAGGGCAAGAAAATTGACATTGCATAGAGCATAACCAGATTTGTTTATTAGTAATAATGATAATATTGAAGGAGGAGCAGGAAGAGATTTTGATCTGCTCAATAATAATAATAGCAATAATAATAAATTTAGAATATTAAAATTTCATTTTGCTCCAATATCATCCAGAATCACTAATCCTTCAAATATTGGTGATGGTAACAGTATGAATGAAAATAATATACATTGTTTAAATATCAGAACTTCTGGTTCGACCATAGATGAAGAAATTGGCATCAGTGCTGGTGGAGCATATCCATTTCCATTGATTGCTAGTAATGATAATATTAATGATGATAATGATAATGATTCTACACGACCATAGTTGATGATAAGTTCATTTTAAGCAGATTTGGGATAATTTCAGGGTAAATTCAAGATAAAAGAACAAGGATAATATTCCAATTTTATTAATTTATGAAATTATTTTAATTAATGAGAATTATTTGTTTGATTAATTAAGTAAATAAAAAGGACAATTTTATTAAAATTTGTAAAGTTGTCAAATAACTTTGTTTGGAAAAAAATAATCAGAAAATCTATTTTTTAATTGATTATTCGTGCATATATATTTATTATTTATTTATCTTTTGGTTTATCAAATTATTTATTATCGAACCCGTTCCGTTCCGGGAATAACAAATAATAATAATCGGAACGTTTTAATGTCTTTCTAAATAATATGTACTTATATAAATAAATCAACAAATTATAAATAAATCCGTCCCGTTCCGATAATTATCGTTTAAAGAAAGAAGTAGGAGAATATTTAAATGATTTGACGAATTTTAGAATAAATTTTACAAACAAATAATCAATAAAGGAAAAATGAAATTTTTCTAATTTCAAATATTTTTTTCGAACTTTTTTAATCATTTTTACGAAACACGCTCATTCACTTTCAACCGTCTTCTTCCGGCACACTCTTCTATATATATATTAAACGTGTATGCAAGCCATCAGATACAGAAACCAATTGCTTGTTTATAAACGTCTCGCCGTTTTCTTCCGATACGTAGTTCTCACATTTATGCATGCATATTTAAATGTATATATAAATTAAAAATTTTTTTTATGTTAAAATTTTAATCAATTAAATTTTGTGTTTTATTTTTAAAAAATTTTAAAAAGCTCAAGTTTTTGATTTTTTGATATAAATAAATATAAATACTAGATAATCCAATAAACAGCATCAATGAACTCATTACCTCGACTTGTATATAAACCTCAATTTTCGCCTCTTCTTATTTCTAGAAAATTTTCTAAATTTCAAAATCTTCAAACAAAAAAATTCTTTTCATCCATCAATTGTAATAATATTAATAACAATACAATTAATATTAATAATAATAATTTTAAGAAACTCTCTAAAATTTCTTCTTGTAAAAACAAAAATTATTTTTACTTCAAGTATCATTCTACTGCTTCATCATTATTTATCAATTCACAAATGAAGAGTTCAAATCACACAAAAGTAGAAGAAGAGCTTCATGAAAACGCACACATCGATTACGATCGTGTTGCTATCAAATGGAATCCTTCAGTCGCCCAATTATACGAAGATGCTTTAAAATATGAAGAAGGTTCTGCCATTTCTTCTGCCGGTGCCTTAGTTACTGCCTCCGGTAATAAGAAAGGTCGCTCTCCAAAAGATAAACGTATTGTTGACGAGCCTAGTTCAACCAATGATATTTGGGTAAGTGTTTGTTTATATTTGTTTTAATTGACCAATCCAATTTTCAAAATAAAATTTGACCAATTAAATTACACTAAAATTCATATATATCATTCACCCACTTTTTTAAAATATAGTGGGGTCCCGTAAATACTAAATTACCTGAACATGTATTCCTCATCAATCGTGAACGCGCAGTTGATTACTTAAACACTCGTAAAAGAATTTATGTTTTTGATGGTTTTGCTGGATGGGATCCAAAATACAGAATTAAAGTTCGTGTAGTATGTGCTCGTGCTTATCATGCTTTGTTCATGAGAAATATGTTGATTCGTCCAACTCCTCAAGAACAAGAAAATTACGGATCACCTGATTTTACCATTTATAATGCTGGTGCTTTCCCTGCCAATCGTTATACCACCGGAATGACTTCCACAACCTCTGTTGCTATCAATTTCAAATTAAACGAAATGGTAATCTTGGGAACTGAATATGCTGGAGAAATGAAAAAAGGAGTGTAAGTATTATTTGTTATCGTTGTTTGATAAAGAAAGAGAGTGCGTGTAAAAAAAACATATATTTTTAGAATTATATTATTTACCCATTTACATTTATATATTATATAGTTTCACAGTTATGCATTATTTGATGCCGGTAAAACATAATGTATTGTCATTACATTCATCTGCAAATGAAGGTTCAGATGGTGATGTATCAGTGTTTTTTGGATTGTCAGGTACTGGGAAGACAACGCTTTCAGCAGATCCAAAACGATATTTGATTGGCGATGATGAACATTGTTGGTCCGACGATAACGTCTTCAACATCGAGGGTGGGTGTTATGCAAAATGTATAAACCTGTCACCAGAAAAAGAACCCGAGATTTTCAATGCAATTCGATTTGGTTCAGTATTGGAGAATGTTGTTTATGATCAACACACTCGGTCAGTCAATTATGACGACAGCTCATTAACAGAAAATACACGTTGTGCCTATCCAATTGAATACATTCCAAATGCCAAGATACCCTGTGTGTCAACCAGTCATCCAAAAAATATAATTCTTCTCACCTGTGACGCATACGGTGTACTCCCACCAGTATCAAAACTTTCATCAGCGCAAGCTATGTATCATTTCATTTCCGGTTACACAGCCAAGATCGCAGGTACAGAAGAGGGCATCACAGAACCCGAGGCAACATTTTCTGCATGTTTCGGTCAACCCTTTTTAGTCTTGCATCCAGCTCGTTATGCACAAATGTTGGCAGATAAAATGGAACACCATAAGGCTAATGCCTGGTTAGTTAATACAGGATGGAGTGGCGGTGCTTATGGTGTTGGGGAAAGAATCAAATTGAAATATTCACGTGCCATAATTGATGCAATCCATAATGATGAATTGACTGCTAAAGATACAGAGTATGAGAACTACGGTGTGTTCAATTTGAATATTCCAAAAACTGTTAGCGGCGTACCATCTGAAATTTTAAATCCAGAGAAAACTTGGAAAGGATCAAAAGATGAATTCATCAACACAAGAAGAAAATTGGCTGAGCGTTTTGTTGGAAACTTTAAAAATTATCAAGATAAAACAACTTCTGAAGTAGTTGCCGCTGGTCCAAATCTTTAGTGTTAAGGTTAATTAATTAATCAAACAATTCAAGAAAAAATATATAATGCATATATAATAATCAATCATATAAATATATAAATATAAATATACAAAATTTTTTTTTAATTAATTCTTAAACATAAAAATTATTTGATTTTTTTTTTTATATTGTAATTAGCAATAGAAAAAGAATTTTATTAATAAAATAAAATCATACATTATTCCTTTGATAATTTGATAATCTGAAAATTAAAAAATAAACAGCCACAGATATTTAAGCCACCACAATAAATTTGAACCCCCAAGATTAATTCGGCTTACGTTATCCCTGTAGCAGCCGATTATCTGATCGACATTTGAATTTTTGATCTCTAATTAAAAAAAAAATGAGTACGATAGAAGCTAAAG